GGGCCGAACCCGGGGGGCGGCTGATGGTGAAGGCCCCCGTGGCACCAAGAGGAGGAAGTAGAGGTGCTGGGTGCCCCGTATTCCACGCACGCTTCCCCCTCTGGATCCCCACCTCCTGCTCCCCCTCCCCCCAGCTCCATCCCTGTGGGGGGGTGGGGGGTCCTCGCTGGGGCTGGCGTGCCGCTTTCCTGCGGTGCCTTCATGCACAGCTGGGTCAGTGCAGTGTGTGGCTGCTTCCTTGCCCCCATCCCCCAGCTGGGGCTGCCCCCCCCCAGTTGCTAGGCTGTGGGGTGGGGGCTGTGCTAGGTCTCAGCTGCCTTGTGCTGGGGTTGGGGGGGGAGGGGGGTGGACTTGGGGGGTTGTTCTGTGCCCCGCATCGTGTTTTTCCCCCTCCTCAGCTCAGTGGGTGGCACAGAGGTTTCCTATAATTTTCTAAATAAAGCCTTTGACATTCCAACCCGAGATCTCTCCTTTGGGCTTGGGGGGATGGGATGGGATGGGATGGGATGGGATGGGATGGGATGGGATGGGATGGGATGGGATGGGATGGGACGGGAGGCAGCCCTCCCTCTGTGGGGCTGAGGGGGTGGGATTCCCCATCGCACCCCCCATAACCTGAACACAACCGAAGCGCTGTCTGCATGGCAAGTGGGTTTATTGACTGCACAGAGGTGAACACAGTGGGGGGAGTGCTAATTGCTGGGGGGGGGGGGGCTGTGGCTGGAGGGGGAAGGGGCTGTGGCTGGAGGTCCAGCTCACCAGCAGAGCTCCCCAGGGCAGTACTTATCAATCAGGGCCTGGTAGTACCCCTGCAGCTCCTTCACGTCAGGCAGCTCCTCCTGCTTGGTGTACAGATCGAACTTGCTGGGGGAGCACATTGGGGAGGGTGGGGGGGGGTCAGAGGTGATGGGAGGGGGGTGTGAAGCACCTTCTCCCACCCCCCCCCCCACGACCACCATGACCATCATCACACACTTGAGCTCCTTGACCCAGGGCAGCATGCGCAGGTCCTCCTCGTTGCACAGGTGCTTGTAGTCCCCGTGTGCATGCCAGGGGTAGAAGGAATGGAAGCGGATCATGTAGAAGGCCTGGAAGGAGGGGGGGGAAGAGGGGGGACAGGGTTGTGGTATTGGGGGGGGATTGGGGAGCATTCAGCCCTTTGGGGTGACTGGCTCCCCCGCACAACCCCAACCTTCCCCTACCTCCTTGGGCAGGGCAAAGTTGTTGAACTTCATCACTCTGTACATGTACTCTGTGGAGAAAGTGGATGTTTGGGGGGCTGGGCTGCTCCCCCCACCCCAATGCTCTGTGCACGGTGAGGGAGGAGGGGGCTATGGAGGGTAGCCCCCCCCCCCCTCCTCCTTTTACAAAGGGTTCTGGGTCTCTGTGCGTCCCCCACTCTCACCATCGTGTCCCCAGGACATGAGCACATTCTCCAGGCCGCAGTGGGGCTGGTACATCCCACACTCGGTGCTGGGGGGCAGAGTTGAGGGGCAGGGAAGGAGGGGGGGGTCAGAGTGGCACCACGGTACCCTTCCCCTCCAGGTTCCCCGTCTACAGAGGAGCTGCACTCACTTGTACCGGGGGTCCCTGGTGTCAGGGTTGTTGTGGAAGGTGGAATCGTGGAAGACCACCGACTTCTGCACCTTGCAGCCCACTGGGAAGGTGTCCCCCACCACCGCCCACTGCAGGGGGTGACAAACATCCCCGGTGTCCCCCAAGGGGTCCCCAAGGAGGGGGTCCTGCAGTCCCCGACCCTCCTCACCCCCACCTCACCTGGGGCTCCCCGAACAGCACCAGGACTTTGCCCAGGTCGTGCAGCAGCCCCACGAGGTGGAACCAATCTGGGGGTAAGCAGGGGGTCATCAGCCCCCCCCCCATCCGCAGTCTGGGCAGGGGGCTCAGGCAGCCAGACCCCCCCCCCCCACACCCCCCTTTACCACCCCACCTTTGTCAGGGTGGGCACGCCGGATGCCCTCTGCGGTCTGATAGGCATGGAGGGAGTTGGGGAAATCCACATCCGGGTCGGATTCATCCACCAGTTGGTCCAGCAGCTCCAGGGCCTGCATGGCACTCATCCTGCGCAGCGAGCAGCCCCCGTACTCAGCACTCTGCGGAGGTGGGGATGGTGAGCACCAGCCCAGGGGGACCCCCACCATCTCCCCCCCCCTCCAGTACCTCCCATGGGACACAAACCTTCCTACGCACAAAGTCGACTGTCTGGTGGGTGTGCATCTGCAGGTACGTGTTGTAAACGCGGTCCAGCAGCTTCCCCTCCTGCAGCAATGGGTCAGGGCTGGGGGGTTCAGTCCCCCGTAGATCCACAGGACCCTCTCCAGGCCTATGGGCCCTCACCCAACTCCATAGGCCACCCCTCAGCCCTATGGACTTCCTCCAGCCATGTGAACTCCTCAGCCCTATGTATTCCCTCCAGTCCCTCAGACCCCTCAGCCCTATGGGCTCCCCCTACCCCCACAGACCTCCCTCCAGCCTTATGAACCCCTCAGCCCTATGGATTTCCTCCAGCCCCACAAACCCTTCAGCCCCGTAAATTCCCTCCAGCCCTATGGACTCCCCCCAGCCTTATGAACCCTTCAGTCCTATGGATTCTCTCTAGCCCCACAGACCCCTCCCTAGCCCCATGGACCCCTTAGCCCTGTGAACCGCCTGCCAGCCTTATGGACTCCCTCTGGTCCCACAGGCTTCTCAGCCCCATGGATCCCTCCAGCCCTGCAGACATTCTAGCCCTATGGATCCCTCAGCCCTATGGATTCCCTCCAGTCCCTCAGACTCCTCAGCCCTATGAGCTCTTCCCACTCCCACAGACCTCCCTCCAGCCTCATGAACCCCTCAGCCCTATGGATTTCCTCCAGCCCCACAAACCCTTCAGCCCTATGGATTCCCTCCAGCCTTATGGATTCCCTCCAGCCTCATGAACCCCTCAGCCCTATGGATTTCCTCCAGCCCCACAAACCCTCCAGCCCCACAACCCTGTAGATTCCCTCCAGCCCTATGGACTCCCCCCAGCCTTATGAACCCTTCAGTCCTATGGATTCTCTCTAGCCCCACAGACCCCTCCCTAGCCCCATGGACCCCTTAGCCCTGTGAACCGCCTTCCAGCCTTATGGACTCCCTCTGGTCCCACAGGCCTCTCAGCCCCATGGATCCCTCCAGCCCCGCAGACATTCTATCCCTATGGACCCCCTTCTAGCCCCATGGATCCCTCAGCCCTATGGATCCCTAACCCCTATGGATTCCCTCCAGCCCCATGGACCCCTCAGCCCTGTGGACTTCCTCCAGCCCTATGGATTCCCTCTAACCTCACAGATTCCCCCCCCCAGCCCCCTCAGCCCTATGGCCTCTCCCCAGCCCCACAGCCGCCCCTCACCGTGTAGTTGCGCAGCTCAGCCTTGTCCTTGCTGGCCTGTGGCTCATTAGGGTTGGGGTCCTGGTGGAAGGCTCCAGGTGAGCAGGGCCAACCCTTAACCCAACCAGTGCCCCCATTCCTCCACCTCCCCGGAGCAGAGTGAGGGTTCAGGAATGTTGTGACCCTAAAAGAACCCCCCCCCCCCCTCCAACTGCACAACACTGAGCAACATTGCACGGTGTTGCATGGTCAGATCCATTGCTTTGGGAGTCAGATCCATGGGCCTGGGCCCCACTTTGAGGTGATGGCACTGAAGCCCTGAGACCCCCCACCCCCTCCACAGAGGGACTCTCCTGCCTCCCCCATGGCTGCTCTTCACCACTCCAAGTTATAGGGTGGGCTTCCTTAGGGGGCGGGTGGCTGCTGTCCTGCCCTCCATGAGCTACTCACCGCCTGCAGGACCTTCATTGCTGTCCAGGGTGGGGGCACACATGCAGCTGCCAGGACCCCCCACCTTTATCCCCAGGCGCAGGGGCAATCAGTCACCAGTTAACCGCCCCCAGTTAATGTTTGAACCCATGGCCAAGGCACCCTGAGGTGCTGCAGTCACTGCATCGGGGAGTCCTGAGCTGCTCCCCACAACCTGACCTGCCCCACAAGTGCAGCCTGGAAGTGAAGAGCCTCCTCCAATCCACCCGTTGCTGAGGAACTTCATCTGTAGGTAGGATCCCTAGAGCTTTGGGAGGTGGTGGGGGGAGCTGAAGTCTGACCGCACTGCTCCTTGCTCGGGGCAAAGGGGCACGGGGTGGCGGGGACAAGTGGGACAAGCACCGAGTGTAGGGCTGCAGATTGGGGTTGGGGGGGGGGGGGGTCCCTGGTTCTGCTGCTGCTTTCTCCCTCCCCCCAAGGGCCCAGTGGCTTTTTCCAGCCTGTGGGAGTGGAGATGGGGGTGTTGGCTGGGGCTGGGGGAGGGAGAAGGGGGATGTGGGGATCCTCCGCGTCTCGCACCCCCTCCACATCCTGGGAGTTGGAAACGGTGCAGCCAACAGGGGGAGAACTGGGGGGGGTGAGACACTGCACCCCGATGGGGGAGAGGGGCTGGGGGCACAGATGGACTTGGGGAGGGGGATGGGCAGCCAGGAGGACAAACAGACAGGAGGAAGGAAGGACAGACGGGCAGATGGATGGACGGATGGACAGACGCACGGATGGAGAAGTGGATGTGCGGACGGACAGCCAGCCAGGCAGGAGGACGGACAGATGGACGGGAAGCCACGCGGACACAAGAATGGCTGGACGGACGGACAGACAGAGCAGCGCGGCCGCCAGGCGGCACCGCAGGATCGCGATCCCCCGGGTCAGCGCGCACGGCTTGGGGGAACGCGGCCGCGCGCATCTGTGCCAAAATCGCAGCGTTTGAGCCCAGGGCACCTCGCTGGGGCTGGGACCCAATGGGGACAGGAGGGGACGGGTCTCCCAGGAGAGTCCTAGGGGTGTCCGTGCAGTTGTGCACCCCAGAGTTGGCACAGGAACAGGGCACATGGAGCTGCAGCCATGGGGCAGTCATGATGGTACCTCCATGGAAGTGCTTGCTGCTCTGTCGATATCCCCCCTGGTTGCGCTCCGTCCATCCCATCCCCTCCACGGGTGTGGTTTCACCACCTGTGAGGTTTCACCACCCCCCTGCTGCCCCATCCCCTGCAGGGATCCCACAGAAAGGCGCACAGGAGCCCACAGCTGCTGGAAGTGCTTTAGTGTCAGCTCCTACCCGACCCACACAGTCCTGGGAAGGGGGAGAAGCAGGGGGGGGGGAAAAAAACCCTTTACCCATAGCTGTGGGGGCTGTTGGGGTTCATGGGGGATGAGTCCTGGCGGCCTGGGCGGCCCATCAGCTGCCATAGGCGGTGGCTGAGGTTCTGCACCTGACACGTGCCCAGCACGCAGCCCACCCGCAGCGGCTGAGCGCGGTGCAGCCGAACCCCGACGTGACGCCGGCCCCTCTGCCCCGGGGGGTGTCGGTGTCTGTGCCTTGGGGACGGCTTGGGGCCGTGCCATAGGGCCGGTTGGGGGCGAGGGATGATGAGCTGTTTGAGTCTGAGGTTGGATTGTAGCCCTGGGGGAGGCTCCCCGTGGGGCGACGGTGGGTGCCGGTGGGGTAAGCGCAGAATGGCCGGGGGGAGTCTCCGATCTGGGGGTTCCCTGCAAGAGAATGGCATGGGGTCAGTGGGACGGGGTCAGTGGGACGGGGTGGGTGCAGAGCATTGTATCCAACATCCCCCATGCATGTGCCCCAGAGCCCCCCCCCCCCTACAGACACACACACCTAGCTGCTCTCTGCCCATGACCGTGACTGCGTCCCTGGCTCAGCTCTCGCCCTTCTTCCCCCTCCCTCCCCCAAGCACTTGTCCATCCTCTGCCCTGATCCCGCACTGGTTCACTGCCCCTGGGAATCTGCAGAGAGAAGGGGGTGTGGGGGGGTTTGTGCACAGGGGGCACTGGGCAGAGAGCCATCCCTAGGACATGTCACCTGCCCCCCATCCACATCAGAGACAGCAGATATGGACACGGACACATCTACGGGCATGGGGTGACCCCACACATACAGTCGTGTTCCCCCTTCTCCCACCCATGAAAGCACCGTAACCCCTGACCCACACCGCACACCCACGTGCCGCAGCGCGTGCAGCCACGCACGCACGCCATCAACCCCCCACATACAGCTACACGCGTGTCCAGGCATGTGCACACCGCCTGACACACGCGTGTCCCACGCCATCCTCACGCCCCACACCCTCACACAACGCACACGGACCCCATACACACCCATGGTGCCCTTGTGTGTGTGTGTGTGTGCAGCCCTCAGCGCCCCTCAGCCCTTCCCACTCAGGCTCAGGTCCCCATTCCCCATCCCCTGTCTTCCATCCCCCACATCCCCATTCCATCCCAGCTCCGTTCCCCATCCCCCAGTTCCATTTCCCATATTCCTATCCTTCCCCCCCCCCCCCCCACTCCCTCCCCCTCCATCTCATCCCCTGGTCCCATTCCTCACCCCCTGTTCCCCATATCTGATTCTCATCCCTGTCCCAATTCCCCATCTCCAGTTCCACCCCATTCCCATTCCTCAGCCCTGTTCCCCATCCCCTGTCTCCCATTCCCCATATCCTCAGCCCTATCCCCATTCCACTCCATTCCCTGGTTCCATCTTCTATCTCCCATTCAACTCCAACCCCACTCCCTGGTCCCATTCCCCATATTTCCATCCCTATCCCCATTCCAGCCCATCTCTGTCCCCATCCCCCAACATATTTCCTATTCCCCATCTCCCATTCCCCCCTATTTTCCAAATCCTCATCCCTATTCCCATTCTCCATATCTGATTTTCACCCCTATCCCAATTCCACGTCACCCACCACCCATTCCACCCCATCCCCCTTTCCCAGCCCCTGTACCCCATTCCCTCTCTCTCAGACCCCATATCCCCATCCTTATCCCCACTCTGCCTTATTCCCTGGTCCCATCCCCCATCCCCATTCCCCATATCTGACTCTCATCCCTATCCTAATTCCCCATCCCCCATTCCACCCCATTCCTGGTCCCATTCCCATCCCCTGTCTCCTATTCCATCCCCCCTCCCCTTCCCCGTATCTCCATCTCTGTCCCCCTTCCCCATCAGATATCTCCTATTCCCCATCCCCCATGTCCCCATCCCTATCACCGTTCCCCATTCCACCCAATCCCCATCCCCATTCCCCGGTCCCATCCCCTATCTCTATCCCCATTCTCTATCAAATACCTCCTTCTCCCCATCTCCCATTCCCCCCTATTTCCCATTCCCCATATCCCCATCCCCATCCCAATCCTCCATCCCACCCCCTACTTCCCATTCCCTAGATCTCCATCCCATCCCTGTCCCCATTCCCCATTCCACCCTATCCCCATATCCCCACCCCTATTCCCATTCCCCATCCCAATCTTCTATTCCCCCATCTCTCTCATTCCCTGCCCCACTCCGGGGCTCTCACAGCACTTCGGGACCACCACAAAATGATCCATAGGAGTCCCCCCCCGTCTCCCTTCCACGGACCCCCGGAGCTGCCCCCGCTCTGCGGGATGCGGGGCGATGCTGGATCGCCTCACCTGTGCTTGGGAGAGCGGCCGTGGGGCAGGGCTCGGCCGTGGGGCAGCTGTAGAGCGCACAGAGCGAGGGTGATGCAACCCAGCGCTGCTCTCATGGCGTGGCCGGGGCGGCTGCTGCGGGGAGAGGAGAGCGGCTCAGGGCCGGGCAAGGCTCGGATGGGCGCAGATGGGCACGGCTCGGCTCAGCGCAATGTACCACGAAGCGGCTCCGGGGGTCCCAGCGCCGAAGTCTGCGCCGATAGCAGCGCTGTTCCCCCGGTGCCCACCCCGCCTCGTGCCGTGCCCGGTGCCACCCGTACCTGCCGGCGGGGCTGCCCGGTCCCGGTGTCGGCTCCGCTGGAAGCCGCTCTCTCTGCGCGTTGCCTCTCCCCACCCGGCCCAGGTTAAATATCGCCGGGCGGGAGGAGCAGCGGGAGGAGCCACGGGGAACGGGGCGGCACGGCACGGCTCGGCTCGGCTCGGCTCGGCTCGGCTCCGCTGCTCGGGATTTGGCTCGGCTCGGCTCGGCTCCACTGCTCGGGATTTGGCTCGGCTCGGCTCGGCTCCACTGCTCGGGATTTGGCTCGGCTCGGCTCGGCTCCACTGCTCGGGATTTGGCTCGGCTCGGCTCGACACGGCTCGGCCAGGAACGAGGTCGGCTCCGCACCCTGCCCAGGGTGGAGCATAGCGATGCCACGTCCTGGGGAGCTGTGCTGAGCTGTGCCGTGTTCATCTGAGCCCCAGCGAACCGTGCCTCGCCGAGCTGTGCCAAACTGAGCCGTGCCAAGCTGAGCCATGCCGTGTAAAGTCGTATCAAGCTCGGGGCGCTGCACCCAGCCGTGCTGTGCCAAGCAGTGCCAAAGCGTGCCTATCCGAGCCACGTCATGGTGGGGATGGGATGGGGGTCTCTGTGCCAGGCTCCTGGTGAGGGGCTCCCCATGGCACCCCATGTGCCCCCCATTTCAGCCCCAGAGTGCCGGGAGGTAGAGGGGAGGGGGGGAGGGGGGGGAAGGGACAGCCCTACTCATCCTTTTCCCCCTTTTCCACTCGGGGTGAGTGGGGGGATGAGGATGAGATAGGATGGGGATGGAGATGGGGATGGGGAGGGGGTGAGGATGGAATAGGATGGGGATGGGGTTGGGGATGAGGATGCTGATGGGAATGAGATGGGGAGGGGGTGGGGATGAGATAGAATGTGGATGATAACTGGGATGAGGATAGGAAGAGGGTGGGGATGGGATGCGATGGGGAGGGAGAGGGGATGGGATGGGGTAGGATGGGGATTGGGGTGAGATGGATGGGATGGAGATGGGGATGGGATGGGATGGGATGGAGATGGAGATGGAGGTGGAGATGGAGGTGGAGATGGAGGTGGAAATGGAGATGGAGGTGGAAATGGAGGTGGAGGTGGAGATGGGGATGGGATGGAGATGAAGATAGAGGTGGGGATGGGATGGGATTGGGTAGGGATTGGAGACAGGGCAGCATGATGTTATGGCAGGCAGGTAGCAATGGACACAGGATTGGGCAGCACTCAGCCTGACACTGCTGGAGGAATCTGTGCATTTGGTGAGAGAGCACAAAAACACTGGAGCAGTGTCAGTCACCACCAGGAGAGTTAAGGGGAAAAATTGAGGTATAAGGGGAAAATGTGTCCCCAGCATCCTCAGCGCCCCATGTCCCTGACATCCCCAGTATTCCCAGTGCCACCAGTGTTCCCAGCATCCTCAGTGTTCTCACTGTGTTCCCCAGCATCTCCAGTTGTCTCCGGTATCCTCCTAATGACCCCAATGTCCTCAGTGTCCCCAGTACCAATGGAATCCCCAGCACCCCAGTGGGTCACAGGGATGGAGGGAAATCAGAGACAGAGGGATGCAGTGACATGGGGACACAGGGACACAGGAACGCGGGGACACAGGGATGTAGGGACATCACAGAGACATAGGGGCACAGGGATACAGTGACACAGGAACACGGGGATATTGGGACACCAGGGTGCAGGGATACGAGGACAGAAGGATTCAGGGATGTAGGGACGTGGGGACATGGGGACGTGAGGACACAGGGATGTAGGGGCATCACACAGACATAGGGCCACAGGGATGCAGTGACATGGGAACGTGGGGACATAGGGACACCTGTGGGGATGTGGTATGCGGTACCCTGCCTGGGACATCCATGATGTTGTGGCACCATCACTGGCCCTGCAGGGTCCTGGAACACAACCCAGGGGTGCTCTCATTGCAAAGCTCATCCCCACACCCCTACGTGTACCATAACCGTATCTCCAGCGCTTCATCAAGGGATTGTGGGACGATAGAATCATCGTGGCAACACGGAATCACGGGATGCTGGGATGATGGATTATCCCAAACCGGAAAGGATCCACGAGGATCACAGCTCCGACACCCCAAGATCCCCTCCCTCCATCCGGGACCGCCCGCTGGGACCGCACCCGAGGAGCGCCCTCCGCTTCCAAAGCCACGCCCCCGTCCCCCAGAAGCCACGCCCACTACTTAAACCACGCCCACATTGGCAAAACCACGCCCATTTCCCCTCCAACAGACCACGCCAGCTCCCGACGTAAGGCCACGCCCATCTCACTTAAGCCCCGCCCACTCCATTTTCCCCAATGGCGGTGCTGTAGCCACGCCCATCTCCGCGGCTTCTGCGCAGGCGCAGTGCGGGCGGGCCGGGCCGGGCAGCGCGCGGGGCCAAGATGGCGGCGGCGGGGGCGGCGCGCAGGCGGGCGGGCAGAGCGGCGGCGGCGGCGGACGGGCGGTGAGCGCGGCCCTCCCCGCGCGGCCCGGCCCGGTCCGGCCCGCCGCCATGGCCCGCCTCGCCGACTACTTCGTGCTGGTGGGCTACGACGCGGAAAAGCGCGGTGAGCGGGGCGGAGGGGCGCAGGCCGCGCCCCACAGACGTGGCGGGGAGGGCCGAAGGGTTGGAGCTGAGGGGCGGCGGGGAGAGTGATGGAAGCGGGGCCTTCCTCAGCGAGGGGCGGGAGAGGCTCCGGGTGAAGGGTTTGGGCACGGGGCTGCGGGGGGGGGGGGCTGTGGAAGCCCGGTGGGGCCGCAGCCTATGGGCTGCCGGGGGGGAGCGGGGCTGCGGCCTGGAGGCTCCTGAGCACGGCCTGCCCTGACCCCGATCCTTGCCTGACCCCGGCCCTGACCCCGGCCTGCCTTCACCCGTGGGGGGCAGATCGCCGTGACTGCGCTGGGAGGGCAGAGCTGCAGCACTGCTGCCAGTGCGGGGCTCCTCAGTTCCAAGCAGGCTGGAGAGAGCCTAGCTGAAGGTGCAGAGATGGTGGGGGCTTGGAGCAGCTCGTGATGGGGGCAGACTGAGAGCACCAGGGCAAGTGAAGAGTGCTGAGCCTGGGGAGGAATGGCAGCATGCATTGGTGCGGGTTGGGGGCTGAGCTGCTGGGAAGGAGCTCTGCGGAGGAGGACCGGTGGGGTCCTGAAGGACAGCAGTTGACCAACAGTTAACTAACAGTTAACCAGTGGTTGACCGTGAGCCAGCAGTGTGACCTGGTGGCCCAAAAGGCCAATGGAACCCTGGGATGCATTGCATAGAGTGCAGACAGCAGGGCAGGGAGGTGCTCCTGCTCTCTGCTCTGCACTGGGGAGGGCACAGCTGCAGCACTGTGCCCGGTGCGGGCTCCTCAGTTCCAAGCAGGCTGGTAACTGCTGGAGAGAGCCCAGCTGACGGTGCAGAGATGGAGGGGGCCTGGAGCAGCTCCTGCTGGGGGCAGGCTGAGAGCCCTACAGGCTGTACATGTGAAGGAGTGAAGGCTGAGGGAGGTCTGAGCAGAGCTGGTGGATATCTGAAGGGTTTGTGGTCAGGAGGAAGGGGCTGGGCTGTGTTTGTTGATGCCCAGCACAAGGACAAGGGGCAACGGACACAGACTGGAGCGCAGGGAGTTGTGTGTGAGTGTGAGGAAGAGCTGTGTGCTGTGAGGGTGGCAGAGCTCTGGCACAGCTGCCCAGACAGGTAGAGGAGTCTCCTTCTGTGCAGAGATCCAAACCTGCAGGGATGCTCTGTGTGCTGCTGCGTGGGGGATTGCAGTGGGGGAGCTGTATAGAGTTCCCTTCCAGCCCCTCCAGTTTTGAGGTTCTGTTACATGAATGCTGGTGTTTGTGGTGCTCAGTGCTGTCATGCTGTGGGATCCAGCTGCTAGTTTCAGTCCTGCAGTCCCAACAAACTGTGTAAGTAGCAGGAGCTCTGGGTGCACTGCGTGATGCTGCCGCTCAGCACTGCTGGACCCAGAGCAGAGCATCAGGAAAGGCCTTGGGCTGCAGAGCAGGGCCTGTCCAGGATCCACAGTGTTCTCTGAATGATGTTGCAGTGAATTCTGTTGTTGTCTCCTCAGTTCTCTCAGTGCTGCAGCCCTGGTGAGGATCCAAGGAGCGTGGCCCCGGTGCCCTCAGGTTGTTCCCATGCTGCAGGTGGGATCCACGCTGAACTCTGTCGACTGGGCCACAGCTGCTCAGTTTGTGGTTCCTTTACGTGCTGTCTCTGAGCACGTTGGATGTTAGGAAACATTTCCTCTGGGAAAAGGAGGTCACGTGCTGGAAGTGGGGGAGTCCCCATTCCTGGAGATGTGGCACTTAGGGACACGGTGGGATGTGGTTGAATTTGATAGTGTTAGAGGTTTATTTCCGACCTGGATGATTCTGTCCTGCACTGTGTTGGTCCTGCCCTGGGGTCACAGTTCATGCAGACAGCAGTGGCTATCGGTGGCCCTGTGGGGCAGTCCTGAAGTATCCTCTCCTATCCTGTCCTTGCCCCACATTCTGCACACCCAGAAGTGAAAGAGAAATGTCACGAATCTTCACGGCACCATTCAGGACGCGTCTGCAGAAGGTGCTCAGTGGTGAAGGCATTAACTTTGGTGGGACGTTACAGAGGAGACCTCACCATGAATGAGCTCTGTTCTTCTGGCTTTAAGGTTTGTGTTTGAAGTTGGAAATCTCCCCTGTAGGGCACAGAACTGCACTTGTGTTATGTCAGTTTGGATCTTGGCACAGCGTGCGGCCCTGACCCTGGAGATCTTGAGTGGGTTTTGGTGCTGTAAAAGCTGGTGGGAGCTGGCCGGGTTAAGAGACTGCAAACCAGAGGTGCAGGTACTGTGCTATTAGCACAGAGCAATCAGGCTTTGGTCAGGTCTTAATTAGTGCTGCAGAGCCAATAGCACAGCGGGGCTGGAGGTGCACAGGGTCTGTGGGGTGTTTGGTTGCGTGCTGGGGGCAGACAGACTGACAGACTGACTGACAGCTGAACATGGCAAAGCCGAGGAGCTGCTGCTGCAGAGCCTCTCCGAGCATCCATCTGCTGCAGAACGCACAGCCGTGTCCCTGTGAGCAGCTATCTGACATCGGGGGTCAATCTGACAGCGTTTCCTTCCCGCTGGATTTCCTGCACCCCCTCCCTGAAGGCAGCTTTTAGATAAGGGCTGGGAGGAAGGGCACGCTGCTCCCCTCCGCCTGTGACTAATTGCTGTACAGGTTGGGTCGGTCTCAGGGCTGCTCCTCCCCGCCCCACACAACACAGAGCTCCTGGGAGGGAGCTGCCCTCGAGCCCCCCAGGCAGGGCTGGGAATGGGCTCTGCCCATTGCCACCTCCGTGTGCTGGGGGATGCCAGGAAGCCAGCAGCTCTGTGCCATCGCAGAAACTGAAAGCATGTAAAGCTGCTGCTAGGCCATGGAGGGGCAGGAAAGGAAATGGGGTGTGTGGGAGCCCGGCATGGTGCCCCATGGGGTCTGTGGGGCTCTGCGTGGAGCTGGTACCCAGCTCCCTGTGGATATTCATCCCATAGAGCCGTGATGGCTCATGGTATTCTGACAGCAGTTGGGTTGAGTTCTCTTGGTGCTTGTGGTTCTCTCTGTGCAGACCAATGGCTGCTGTCTGCCTGCTGTGGCTGGGGGGCTCCTATGTTCCCAATGCTCTGTATGGGTCTGGGGAGGAGCAGTGCAGGTTGAGAGTGTGTCCAGCATTGGCCATCATTGGGTTTCTGTATGGAGCATAGAGTGAGGCCTGGCCCCACAGTGGGTGAAGTTGGTAAAGGATTTGCCCCGGGGGTGGCTGTGGGGCGGCTGCTGCTGCCCCGGGGGTGGCTGTGGGGCGGCTGCTGCTGCCCCAGGGGTGGCTGTGGGGCTGCTGCTGCTGCCCTGGGGTGGCTGTGGGGCGGCTGTGGGGCGGCTGTGGGGCGGCTGTGGGGCGGCTGTGGGGTGGCTGTGGGGTGGCTGTGGGGCGGCTGCTGCTGCCCTGGGGTGGCTGTGGGGTGGCTGCTGCTGCCCTGGGGTGGCTGTGGGGTGGCTGCTGCTGCCCTGGGGTGGCTGTGGGGCGGCTGCTGCTGCCCTGGGGTGGCTGTGGGGCTGCTGCTGCTGCCCTGGGGTGGCTGTGGGGCTGCTGCTATTGCAGGCCAGCTGCTGGCAGCGGGATCTCAGTGTGTGCTGCCGTGCGGCCCAGCCAAGTGAGTCATCATTTGACTCAGACACAGCGGCTGCTCCACGCGCGTGGAAGCCCCATCCATTGAACCAGCCCCAGTGGTTGCCAACAGCATGTGGCTGCATTTGCCACATCCACGTTTGGGGAGAGGGTGGCTCTGTGTGCGTGCAGTGCTGCCCGTCTGACTGCAGCACCTCTGCGTGGAGCGGGCTGAGAGGTGTGCAGGAGGGAAGGCTGAGAGGGATCTGAGAGGTGTTGGTGGATACTTGAAGGGTGAGGATCGGGAGGATGGGGCTGTTAGGTGATGCAAGGTGCCAGGACTGCAGAACCAGCACTATTCCATGGTTGTGTGCCCACCAGGGCCGGGCTGGTGCTGTCTGCTGCCTTCCACGTGTGTCACGGTTTCGGCAGAGTGGGTGAACGTGAGGAGGAAGCACCAATTTGAAACATATGCTGCGACCAAATTCCTTCACTGTTAGTAATATTTTGTTTGCTGCCAGTGAGAATTTTGGAAATGGTTTGTTGTTTTTTGGTTTTTTTTTTTTGAAATTTCTCTCACTTTTAGTTTGCATTTTTCACAGTTGAGGAGGAATCTGCAGATTTGGTTCCCGGCGAGCTTTGTTTCCCAGTTTGCAGCCCTGTGATGCTGGCTGGGAGAAGCAGCTGCAGTTTCATCCATGCTGGAAGCAAACAAACACAAACAAAAGAGGCTCAGCCTGCATCTGGGACGTGCCCTGGTGGTCATAATAGGAAGGGGTGCAATTGTGAGGGGTATGGAGCACATCTGACCTCATTCTCCCCTTATAGGAACGTGTTCCCTCAGGCCTGCAGCGTGGGCATCCTACCAGCTCTGCATGCAGAGGGCTGGCTGAGGTCTGCATTGCATGTGAGGACTGCTGACCCCACAGAGCAAAGACCCTCTCCTTGCACCAATCCCAATCCCCTTTTGTTTGTGGCGTAGCTCGGAAGCAGCCACGTGTCAGCTTGCAGGAGACAGCCCTTGAGTTTGTCAGCTGCTGGTGCCTCGTGTCTGAGATTGGGTCAGAGAAGCACATTTGCTTTTATCCCTTTTTTTCAAGATGCAGCAGGGACTTTTTGGGGGAGGAAAATGGAGCGTCTCGGTTTGTTAGGTGCATCTGTGCCGTGGGTAGCTGTAGGAAGTGGAGCAGAAAACAAGCTGGGCTGCCCGCCCCTCATCGCTGCGTCACCTTCCTGCTGATGGCCCAGATAAGCACTCTTGGTGTGCAGAGGATGCCCTGCCCCAACATGGGCAGCTTGGAGCTCGGCACCCAGCACGGGGTATCCAAGAAAGACCTCTGAGATCGTGAGGTTATTCCAAATTAGGAGGGATTCATAAGGATCATGGAGTCCAACCTCAGCCCACCCCCACTGTGCCTGCTGTGTCCCCAAGTGCCACATCTCCGTGGTCCTCCT